ATTCCTACGTCGACACGATATATCCCGGTGAGCTTGAGATAAAAGATACCACAGAGTCCAACACATCTGCTTCATACTTGGATATTTTACTTGAAAAAGACACAAATGGTAATCTAACAACCAAGCTATATGATAAACGTGATGACTTTAACTTTTCTATCGTCAACTTCCCTTACTTATGCAGCAATATACCTTCATCACCTGCATACGGAGTATTTATATCTCAGTTGATTCGATACGCAAGAGCATGCTCTACGTATGAACAATTTCGTAAACGAGGTAAATTATTGACAAGCAAGTTGATGAAACAAGAATATCAACAGTCTCGTTTAAAGTCATCATTTCGTAAATTCTATGGTCGATACAATGACCTTGTCAGCAAATACAATTTATCATTGAATGAAATGCTGACTGACGTTTTTCATACCAATTGTTAGTCCATTATTTATACACTGAATTGACTACGGATTTTTTCCGTTATTTCCTGATTATGACAATGAGCACACGGCGGGTGTGACCGGTCAGCAGGGGATGCTCACTCCTCCATGGCACCTGATCCCACCTCTGATGTTTCGGAGGTCCGTGTTTGCTCTGCTCTTGTTTTGTATATTTGTTTAATGGACGTTGAGATTGAATACTGTTCGTTATTTCCATATCCTTACTAGAAAAATCAAACCTCCCCTCACTGAAAATCAGGCGTATGAGAGCCATGGCCCTTGAAGTCTTCAAAATTATAAACTATCAAAGCCCACTGTTCCTGCAAGATTTAGTTCAACAGCGAAATTCCACATACAATTTTAGATAATATCAAAAGACTCTGGAATTACCCAGGCCAAGAACCACTAGGTATGGAAAACAGTCATTCAGCTATGCGGCTGCTACGTTGTGGAATTCTTTACCAAATCATGCTAGGGAACTTTCCACCCTCAGCCAATTTAAAACGTTCATTGAAACATGGACGGGGAAAAAAATCCAAATGTAGTTCCTGCAGAAACCACAGCATGGGGCTGCATAGCTGATGAGAATAATTACATAAATTGTTTTTAATTTTTTTTTTCTTCTTTTTTCTCAATTTGGTTTAGCTATGTCTGTGTGAATTTTTAATTTTCTAAACTAATTTATTTATTTATCGTTTTTTATTTATTTATTTTTTTTTATTATTATTAATAGTACAATTAGTTATTTTTAATCTGACTTTAAGGGTTAAACGTAGTGCTTAATTTTTAATACTGTCATATGACTTTTATTTATTTATTTATAATACTCACGTTATATTTATTTTTGTTCCTCTTAATGCAATCATATTGCTTTTCAAGTTTGTTTTTTTTTTCTTTAACTAATTCTAAAGAAAATATAAATTCTTAACATTTGTTTAATTCTTAAAATTCGTTTTATCTGCCATATGTATGTGTATATATGTACATGTGTTTTTGCATGTTAATTTATGCTGTAAATGTTTTCTTGTGATATTTTAACTGTGATAGTCGGTTTAAGAGCTCTACAGAGCTCATGTTTCTTGTTATGTAATGTATACATTGCCGACTTCAAATAAAATTTACTTACTTACTTACTTAAAGGACCAAGCCTTCTTCCAAGGGGAGATAATTAGGAATAAGTGAAAAATTAATGGCATTTTAAAAAAAATCTTCTTCTCCAGAACCATTGGAACAGGAAATATGAAACTCATGTGGAATCATCCTCAGATAGTGTACATTCAAGTTTGTTCAAATCAGGACCCCCAGGGCTAGGGTGGGGCCACAATGGCCGATCAAATTTTTACATAGGAATATATAGGGAAATCTTTAAAAATTTTCTTCTCAAGTATACAGCAAAGCCATTATCAATTATATTTATATGGAAGCATCCTCAGGTAGTGTAGATTCTAGTTTGTTCAAATCATAACCCCCAGGGGTAGGGTGGGACCACAATGGGGGTCCAAGTTTTACATTGGAAAAAAAAGGGGAAAATCTCAATAACAGAAAAGCTATGTTAAGTCATATTGACATGTAAGCATCCTCATGTATTGAAGATTTAAATTTGTTCAAATCATGAATATAGTAATATATAAACAAAATGTTTTTAAAAATTCTATAAAAATCTTTTTCTCAAGAACTTTCTCAAGAAGTTATATGCAGAATTGATATGGAGGCATTCTCAAGAAGTATTAGAATTCAAGCCCCACCCCACCCCTTCAGTAAACTTTTCAATTCTGATCTGATTTGTGCGTTTTCCTAGCAGATGTGCTCAGGTGAGCGATGTGGCCCCTGGGCCTCTTGTTAAATATGCATTACCTTACAATTTATATTATCTTTTCAGTTTTATTAGGAACGTAATTTTATAGGTATGTCACTTAAGAATTTGAATGTTATAAATTCTATCACACACATCTTTAAATTAATTGATGTACTAAGCGTTCCAAAATTATGTACTTTTATTAATATTTAGAGCTTTATAAATTTATTTTATTGTTATTATTCCATTGTTAGTCGACATTTAACTGAAAATAAGTTTTAAAATCTTTCTCATAATCAACCTCGACTTGGGTATTTTTTCGTATATTTTTTCATAATTGTTTTACTTTTTATAAAGTTTAATGTTTTAAAAGAGAGTTCTAGAGGTAATTCTCGAAAAGCCAGTTATATATGTTCATGTCTGAGGACGTGCTCTCCATTAAAGACTTCCTTGATTGAACTATGCAATAATGGTGCATAAACATTGAAAGTGTAACCAAAGTTATATTCCTGTCCTGGACTTGACCTCCTTGTGCATAGTCACAAGTGTGTTTCCTCACCCCCTCATAAAAATAAATGGTGCCACCATCACCGCTTGGTTCTTGCGACAGTACACTTGTGTGCTCAGGTTCTTCAGGGTACCTGCAAAGTGAACAAGTGTTTGGCCATACCTATTTTATTGGGTAAGTACAGTGTAAGTGAAACATAATCTCTTTTTTTTTCTTCAGCATGCTGGTATGAGGTTTTCTATGCCTGACTACTTTTTTCAATACCGAATATATATCGCCTGCGCAAGTGTGCCATTTTGTGAGTGTAAGACCATAAAGAGAAGTCGTCCATTATATTAAGTCTGCTTATGGTATTTGTATATAAATATATATTAAAAAGCCCTAGAAAGTTTTGTTGTCAAGTACGAAATGTGCCATGTAGCATGTGTTTCGTTTCTTAAAACGTTTACCTTATACCAAATAACAAGTGTTTCCGACTTGTGGGTGTGTTAGTCTATAGAAAGAATTATTTAGGTTCATAATCCCTCGACTCACTCAAGAAACGTCGTTTAAGGCTTATGAAATTCCCGGAGAAATGTATTTTATAACATGAAACAGTTTTGGCATAACTTGCAGGGAACAATTTGACTAAAAAGATCTTTGAATATAAAAATTTCTGTAGCAATAATATACATCCCATTACAATTTATCTTTCTTATTGGATTATTAATGACCCCAAGCGTTACTCAGTAGATCTAAACTACGTATATATAAAATTAAGTTACTGCATGAATTTTTCTGTTCTATATAAGCATATCATTTTCTTAAAATGTTGCATACCATACGATTGTTTTAAAACTAATTTGTACCTAACGCTCTTAAAAAAAATAATGATCAATCAAAATATTTCCTTGCTTGAAGTAAAATTGGATTATGATGCTTTTTTATAATTTAGTGCGGAAGCGAGACAAAGGGGCATTTTTCAAAACCGAGTTTGGACTTTAAGGCGTTAGCTTAATTCAGTTGAAGGTAGGTAGTCTAACGTTAGAATCAGTATCGTGGTATATATATGCCATCCACATAATTTTTTGTTAACATAGCATATCATGTCAAATCAAGATAACTATCTCGTCAAGTCATGATAACTTTCTGGTTTGTCGACAAAATCGACTTTATATCTTGTCCAGTCAAGATAAGATATCACATTTGTTGAGATACTCAATAGCTATCTTGACATAATGAGATAACTTATCTTGCATTATGAACAAAATAGATATCGCAACAAATGTGATATCCTATCTTGACTGCACAAGATATAAAGTCGATGTCTGTCGACAAACCAGACAGTTATCATGACTTGACGAGATTCTTATCTTGATTTGACATGATATGCTATGCTAACAAAAAGTTATGTAGATCTCATAAATATGCCACCACAATGATTATGGTGGCATATTTATGCCATCCACATAACTTTTGGTTAGCATAGTATATCATAACTATCTCAAGTCATGATACCTTTCTGGTTTGTCGACAAACATTAACTTTATATCTTTTCCAGTCAAGATAAGTTATCATATTTGTTGCGATAGCTATCTTGACATGATGCGATAACTTGTATTGCATCATCAATAAAATAGCTATCGCAAAAATACGATTGCTTATCTTGACAAGAAATAAGTCGGCGTTTGTCAACAAACAAGAAAATTATCATGACTTGACCAGGGAATTATCTTGATTTGACATGATATGCTATGTTAACAAAAAGTTATGTAGATGGCATAAATATGCCACCATATAAGATAAAGAAATATGTGTGCTTTAAAATATCGAGAGAAAAAAATTTGAATATAACTATAGTGGCATATTTATGCCATCCACTTATATTTTGTTAACATAGCATATCATGTCAAGTCCAGATAACTATCTCCTCAATTCATGATAACTTTCTGGTTTGACAACAAAAACAAACTTTATATCTTGTCCAGTCAAGATAAGATATAACATTTGTTGAGATAGCTATCTTGACATGACGAGATAACTTATTTTTTCATGAATATAATAGCTATCTCAAAAATAAGATTGCTTATCTTGGATGGACAAGATATAAAGTCGTCGTTTGGCGTTTGTCGACAAACATGAAAGTTCTCATGACTTGACGAGATAGTTATCTTGATTTGACATGATAATTATGTTATGTTAACAAAACGTTATGTGGATGGCATAGATATGCCACCATATATAACATATGTATGCTTCCATATATGCTTCAAACAGGTACATGTATATTGTAAATGTGAAGTTGAAGAAGTATCCATGGAAGGAACAATGCACTTGCTGTTGCTTTTCTCGTCAATTTTTTTTTGCTGGAGCAAATATAGTTAGTGAAGAAAAACATCATGTTTCCTACTGCCAAACCAAGAACTGCTTTTGTCGGAACAAGTCAACAGCGGATTCCTCCTATAAGAATCTTTCTACCCTTCCAAGAGGACTCCCCAGGACTATAACTTCCCTCATCCTTACCGGAAATGATTTTCCTGATTTGAAGGACGAAGATTTCAATCCAGTAGCTCATCTGAAATTAAAAAGTCTCATAATGAAACATTGTAACATTGAAAGCATCTCTAAATCCGCTTTTCAAACTCTCAGTAGCCTTGTGAAGTTTGACTTATCTTATAATAGGATAACAGGAAAGATGCTATATTTAGCCACAAGATCTCTTGGTAAATCGAGAATCAAGATTCTAGATGTGTCTGGGAATTATTTTAATGGGTCGAATGATCAATTTTCTGGATTTAGAAATGAATGGTTCTTACAACTGCGAGAATTATGTTTAGTAGGTATAAATGTGAATATTTTCAATTTTACAACACTTTCCACACTTAAGAAGTTAAGTAAATTGGATCTAGGAAGCAACAGAATTACTCACTTACATGTCTCTAAGGAAACGGTATTTTTAAAGCTTCAGTATTTAGATCTGGCAAGAAACAGTCTTAGAGATACAAGTTTCTTCCAGAAAAGAGGAAATTGTCTGCCGAAACTTATACATCTAGACTTGTCTCGTAACCCATTTTTTACAATATGCTCTCGTTCATTTGTAAAACTAATAAGCTTGAAAGCTCTGATTATGGATCATCTCCAGGTCAAAGCATCAATAGAAACAAGGGCTCTGGAATCGCGAAGTCTTGTTAATCTTTCTATTGACAGTTTTCAAGGTGATAATCATATATTGTTTAAACATTGCCCTCTACTGCAGGAACTTCAAATGAGAAGAATGACATTATTTTTGACCAATTTAACAAAGATGCTGTCGCCTTTAAGACATTTGAGATCTCTATTAATCCGAGGATGCGGCATTAAGTATATGTCGTCTTTACAAGGATTGCCAGAACTCCAAAAGCTAGATTTTACCTACAATCATATACAGAACCTTCAAAAAAAGGACATTGAAAACCTATGGAAATTGGAAGAAATATCGTTTGGTTGGAACTCTATTTTTACAGTTTCTCAATCTTCTTTTCCAGAATTTATCTGGAAAAAGAAGAAGCTTCGATTAGATTTATCATCAAACCCCTTTAATTGTGACTGTGAACTTGAATGGTTTTCCAACTGGCTGAGAATTAACAACCATAAGGTGGTTGCTTATCCATTCCGATATACATGCAAAACACCAGTAAAGCTGCAAAATCAGTATCTTTTAAGGGTTGATTTTCGCATGTGTCATCAGTTGAATCAATATATGATTTTATCATTTACCTTTTGTGGAATAATATCCATTATTTCTTTTACGATTGTCCTTGCCTGGAAACTTAGATGGGACATAAAATACTATATTCACATATGTAAACGTAGAAATCTCAAAAGGTATACGAGACTGTTATCTGATGGGTATCAGTATGACGGATTTGTTGCATACAATACACGAGACAGGAAATGGATCATGTCGGAACTTGTCGAAAATTTAGAAAATAGAAGAAAATACAAACTTTGCCTTCACGAAAGAGACATCATTCCTGGGGGAATCTTTGTCGATGAAATTCTTGATAGCATTGAAGTTAGTAGAAAATTTATCCTTGTATTTTCTCCCAATTTTATGAGTGATCAGTGGTGCCAGTATGAAGCAACCCTTGCAAACCATGCTCTGGCTGACGGTAGAATTGGAGAAATTATTCTTATTGTTTTAGGAAAAATCAGATCTGAGCATATGACAAATTCCATGAAAATTTTGCTGAAATCTATCCGCAATATAGAGTGGACAGAAAATAAAAATGGACAAAAATTATTTTGGTCCAGTATAGAACAACTCATGAACTGATAAATTAACTACATTGTATCTATGAGAAGTTCAAGGGTTAATTTTCTTTACAGTATTGTGAAAAGACTTACATGTACATGTATTCTTTCTTACTTTTATTACATAAAAACTAAAATGTTCATGTTAGAAGTATCAGAAAGAGGAAAATACAATATTTGCCTTGAAAATTGTTCGGCTAGGGTTAATCTTGGGTGAAAAAATGTGTGTTTCTGCAATTAGGCTATCTGCTTTTCATCAATAGAATCAAAATGTAAATTGGACGATGATGTAAATCTTATTTTATTTTACACCCTTCACTGTAAGTTATAATTTGAGTAATTTATAATTTTTGACTGAAAGAGGATAAACCTTGATAGAAATTTTATGGAGTATTGTCATTCTAAGATGTGGACTGAAAATTAGAGAAATATTTCTCATTGTTATCAGACTGATTTTTCTCTTTGACGCTCAAGAGTAAAATTTATAATTTCAACATTTTTGAATTCGAAAGACTGACAAAATAATCAACTGAGTTTCTGTACGTCCTTGTCCACTTAGAAGCGAAAATTATACATGAAGATGATAATGAATAGTCTCTAAAATCATGAATTATTATTGGTTAATAGGATGGAGATAAGTATGTAACTTATATAACAGGTGTTTTCTCACGGAGAAAGTGTTTTCACGTGATAATGTACGAGTCATCATGTAAAATTTTCCTCAAACTATATTAAAATATTCATCACGGTGTTTCAGTATAAAACAACGTAACGTGGTGTAATTTCCATTGTTTTCTGGTTTAACACTAAAAAACAATGACAGATGATATAAAATTTGATCAAAACATTTGAAAATACACGTGTATTATGCTGACAACTTAATTCATGTTTATATTATGATTTAAGAAAATGAAAATAAATGCGCAGTTTTTAAATTTTTAATTCAAAATTTCAGAATGATGAGATCTGAAGTGACAAAAAGTTGTACAGATTAATAACTAATGGTTTGTTGTCGAAGGGCAGAATTTTAAACACCAGAGAAGGTTTATATTATCTAAATATTTTAGAAATTATAATTTGCATAGTTAAAACAGTCAAGTATAAGCTGAATAATTTTTATCAATCCATTTTTTGTGTGTGTATCATCTGCCCTTAAACTTGTCCACGGATATGTTTTGTCTACGAAATGTTATATAAGTATTCAACACTTCTTCAAACCCAAGTTTAAATTCCCATAAAACAGTGTACTGTATTTTTCTTTCAATATAACGAAAAATTAAGGGGATGAAACATTGTGAACACCACTATAAATTGAAAATTTTCACAACACCACTATAAATTGAAAATTTTCACAGACGTTCTGACAAATCAAACTGCAACTTATATATATTTTAATTTAATATGCTTAATGGTGTCCCAATCGCATTTCTTTTAATATACTCCTCGACTTTCCCTTCTAATAAAGGGGTCATTTTACACATTTCACACTGAATGACAATCGCTGATGCATAGTCCAATATATCCGCTTGTATCATTCAAATATTCAAAATACTTATGCTCAAAAATAAACTGGTATCAAAAAATTGTCCAGGAATTAGTACCTTCTTGAACAAATTAAAATCACAAAAATCATCTTCAATTGAAAGGGGGAACAAGATGTGTTTGTGAAACACTGATGCCCCCGTTCCCAATTATGGCCAGGCAAAAGCTTTAAATAAGTACAGAAATCTTCAAGATCAAGGTAAGAAATTCAATATTATTGGTATCCAATGAAAGGTATTTCCACAAAGAACACATGTGTGAAGTATGGAAGCCCTAGCCCTAACCATTCAAAAGTTATGGCCAAGGTTAAAAGATTTTAAAAGTAGGTTAAACTCCATGATCAAGGACAGAAGGTCTAGATTACTGGTATTGAATGAAAGGCATTGTCACAAGAATTACATATGTGAAGTATGAAAGCCCTAGCCCTTGTTCTTGAAAAGTTATTGCCAAGGGTAATATTTTTTCATAAGTTCGGAAATCTGTAAGGTCAAGGTCAAAAGATCAAGGTTATTTGTATCCAATAAAAGGACTTGCCACAAAGAATACATTTATGAAATATGGAAGCCCTAGTCCTAACCGTTAAAAAGTTATTGCTAAGATTAATGTTTTTCATAAGTCTAGAAATATCCAAGGTCAAGGTTAGAAGGTCAAGGTTATTGGTATCCAATGAAAGGTCTTTCCACAAAGAATAAATATGTAATGTATGAAAGCCCTAGCCCTCACCGTTCAAAAGTTATGGCCAAAGTTTAAAAAATTTAAAAGTAGGTCAAACTCTAAGGTCAAGGTCAAAAGATTAAAGGTCTTGATTTTAAATGAAAGGTTTGTCACAAGAATTAAATATGTAAAGTATGAAAGCACTAGCTCTAACCCTTTGAAAGATAAGGTCGAGGTTTGTTTTTTAAAAGTAGGTCAAACTCCAAGGTCAAGGTCAAAGGGTCAAACCTTTTGGTATGCAATAAAGCGGCTTCTTACAAGGATTACAATTGTAAAGTATGAAAGCTCTTTCCGCACATCAACATGCCCATGAACATGATTAACCCTAGAAAAGGTTTTATCAAAATCGCACGAGTAGTTTCCGAGAACACTCGAGGAGAAAAAAGTACCGGAGAAGAATTTTGAAAAAAAAAGTAAAAACAACATGATCCCAAATTTCGCCAACACAATAACAGTAACCTAATAAGCTACATCATTTTCTGAAATCAGTGGACATCATATCATTTTATCTTTATCATCTATCTCAAACGTGTCTCGTTTTTAAACACATGCACAAGTGTACAAACGAAGATACGTATCTAATCTAGTTTGTGGCATTCGCAAAACTTACAATTTATTATAAAATGGAACGAGAAGAACAAAATCAGCGTAAAACGTAGTAAGTTTGATATTTTAATATCCATCAGTTTTATTATTTCATAATGTAACGCATATTTCAGATATAATTTGTACATGTTAGTATTTCTCTTCAAGCGATTTGAATACTAAAGAAATGACATTTTATTTACTGAAACATACAGTATTTTGATCCCATAATTTAGCATTATTGAGGATTTTTAACTATAAAATAAAAATAAAGAGAACAAAATCCGTTTATTTTTCTCTATTCTTAGCCCATCCTACCAAAAGAAATGAAGCTAAGAATATGAAGATACTTTTGCAATGGCGACTTCGAAAAATCTCCGATACAATGGTTCTGGTGAGGTTCGAAGTAGAAGATTCCGGAGTAAATCAAGAAGTAGGAGGGGCGCCCACCAATACAGGGTTCAGAGAAATAAAAGTTTAGAGAGGGGTTTAACTGCTGATGATTCTAGTGATGAAATGTCTTCGGATAATGACAATATATACATGCACAACTCCACAAGGGCGACCTCAACTTTTCGGCGATATGATAGTTATGCGTCAATAAGAAATGACAGAGACAGGAGCAAATCAAGAAGTAGAAAAGGTGCCCACCAAAATAGGAAACAGGAAAATAAAAGTCTAGATTGATAGTTGCGGCAGGATCTAGTGATGAAGCATCTTCGGATAAAGACAATGTGTATAGCTATAACTCACACTCTTTAGGACAGTCTAGTGATGTTTTTGAAAGAAGATCTTTCGAGTTAAATGTATTTAAGTTTCTTGTAAAAAATATAGGTGGGTGTATAAATGTGCCATCTTTTAAAGAAAAGTATGCACATTTACCACAGAATCTTGATGAATGGCTCAATGAACGTAAGGAGAAAATTTCAGTGTATAAAAGAAATAACATTGTACTTTATATCGGGCCTCTTCTCAAAAAAGCTTCCATCTGTGCTGAAAACTTTGGGTTTGGAGAAGAAAGAGAGTGCAGTCGCATCAACTGTAAACACTTTCATATTTGCAAACACTACTTAAATGGATTGTGCAGACAAGGTCCCAGATGCAGAAAAGGGCATTATTTTGAAAATGGTCACAATCGGGATATCAAAGAAAGAAATGGTCTACAAGAATATACAGATGATGAAATGAAAAAGATAATTCTTTGGAGATATCCCCAGGTCTGCAAAGCACGTAATTGCTTGTTGGCAGAAGATTGTCCATATCTTCACATTTGCTATAATTTCATTAAAAACAATTGTGATGATTCAAGTTGCCCACGAGGACATCCTTTCGAAACTTCCCATAACAAATGGGTTCTTTCAGTGTATAGAATGGAGAGATGGCCGACTCAAAAATTGAGCTTGCTAAAATCCTTGGTTAACATGCCAAGCAGGCAAAAAAGTAAAAGAGATATTTGTTGCATGGCTAATTTTCATGCAGATGTTCAAAGTGAGAACTATGGAGAACCATTAGGTGTGCGGTTAGATCAGAATGAACTTCATCGAAAACCAAACTCAGAGCACGATATCTTCAAAAGTAAGCATAATTATTAAAAAAAAAACTTCGATGAAAAAGACAGATAAAAATTTTATTTTCTCTATTTACAAGTGTAGTCTTTAAATGTAATTTTTTCTAAAAAGTATGATGGTTAAATTGAATTAATTAAATGAGAACAGAACAGACAAAAAATTACACATACCCATTTTATCTTTGTTTTTTTCTATATCAAGGAGTCTTAATTGAAATTTCCATTTCTTATTAGAAAAATCTTTCTCAACATCAAGTAGTGTATTAGATAAGAATGCCCATAAGACAAACATTTGCCATAATAATTTGACGGGAGGTTGTCAAGGGAGGGACTGCAATAAACACCACACCCGCATTCCATACCTCTGGCAGATCCGTATCTATAGAGACTGGATCAGCTTTGATGACGTAGAAAACCAGAAACTGGAAAGACGTTATTGCAATCTTGAAGACACGGCAGATGGAGAGGCAAATCTTTAAAACAAATAACAAATAAAATTCTTTTTAAAAATATAATCGTCATAAAATTGACTGTGTCAAATTTTCATGTGTAATAATTAGAAAATTTAGATTCATATATGAAGTTTTATCTGAATAGGTTGACTGTGTCAAATTTTCATGTGTAATAATTAGAAAATTTAGATTCATATATGAAGTTTTATCTGAATAGGTTTATGTTCAAGGGAGAAAAGAAAAGACAAGCCTTAATTTTTCTAAAGATTATGGGATCATTGAAAAGCAGACAAAACCTCATTGTGATATTCGGAGATTAACAAGTGTTTCCTTCGTCAAACAAGGGGCAGTATTGGCTTCAGATTCCTTCCACACTCAATGGAGATGGTATTTTCAAAATGACTTCAAACAATGGATAGCGTATGAAAAAGTAATATTAATGTTTTTCAGTTATGTTAGCTGAAATCTACAGGCAGATAATTTTCA